CCTTAGTAAAAAACTTGAGAAAGCAACATACAATGAGTCAACTTCCCAGAGTGACCCACGTCATCCAACTCTAAAAATTTCCCAAACACACCATTCTTTAACTGTTCCTTTTGAGTTCCACACAAAAACTCTGAAATTGTTTTCTTAAATTTTCGATCGCCTTTCCAATAACAATCAGCAGCAAACCACTTCTTAAGATCATAACATCGATCTCCCTCCTAAAATCAAAATATAACACAGATAAGCAACATTTCATGTAATTTTTAAGATAAAAACTTCAACATTTTAGAAATACGTACCTTCAATATATAACTTGATGATTCCATTTCTATAAAATCATCAAAAAAAACATATTACAAATCAGATAATAAACACAATCAGAATCCCAGTATATATATCAGAAATAAATTATCAAAATAACTCATTCACTAAAATGAACAGAAGAACAGTCTATAGATTGCAGTCTTCCAGCATAATATACTGGATCAGACTAAAATACAAGATATGAAAATCGAAAAACAGCATAATAATCATGCGGTATAATATACTGGAGAAAAAAGCTTACACACAGGAGAAACCCTGTAAAATATACTGGACTTAAAAAATACTTGTCTATATTATAATATTCATTCAGTATAACATACTGGAAGCCAAACATTCATATGATAGATTTCNATGATCACTTGATTCCTGGGAGCATTGGCTCGAATTGTGATACGAATATTGAAAGTATACGAAATGACTTGATTCTTTGGAGCGTTGGCTCAAAATAGTAAAGCGAATTAAAAGATAAGGAAAGTAAGAAAAAGAAAGCGTTGTTGATTATTCCCTTGTCGGGACGTTTGGTTGAACTTGTTGGATTATTTCCCTTGCCGGGATGGTTGTCAAATATTTGCTTATTTTGTGCCCCTTAATTGTGACTGTTGTTTGGGAAGTCAGACTATTAAATGATATTGAGGATCGGGCTGTGCGCCGCAACAATGATGTTGAGGATCGGGTTGCGCGCCGCAACAATAATATATGAGGATCGGGTTGCGCGCCGCAACAATGATATATGATAAATGATATGGGTCGGGTTGCACGTCGCAACAGTGGTATTGTGGAGCGGGTTGCACGCCGCAACAATAGTAATTATGGACCGGGTTGCACGCCGCAACAGTTATTGGTGCCATGTGTTTATATTGAGTATTGATTCCTTGTTCATTGTGAACCTAAACTGCTTTAGTTTGTTACTCTGGATTACTGTTAATATTGTATCTCCCCATAGCATGTTTCCCCTCCCCTATTGTTAATTGCTTTGTATTCGATTCCATGGTATATTTATAACTGCACAGATTTATGTGGTGTCCGGTCTAGCCTCGTCAATACTTCGCCGGGGTTAGGCTAGACACTTACCAGCACATGGGGTCGGTTGTGCTGATGCTACACTTCTGTGCATTTTTGCACAGGTCCAGGTTTTGAGGAGCAGCAGCAGCAGTAGTACGGCAGGCTTTTATTATCACGAGACTGAGGTAGCCTTGCAGGCGTCCGCAGGCCCGACGTCTCTTTTTTATGTTTTCCTTTTTGATTGTTGCCTCATTGTTTTCGAGACAGACAACTGTTATATTTCTTTCAGACCTTTGTATTTAGTTTATTCTTAGTGGTTCATGAGTAATGTGACACCAAATCTTGGGTAGAGGTTGTTTTTTACTATTCCGCGTTTTAAATTCATCATTTTAAGACAGACTTCCGCTATTGTTCTTATTAGACTTTATGTTCTATATTGATGTTATAAACTGTTAAAGATAATTGCTAGTGATGGAAAGGTAATTAAGTTGGCTTGCCTAGCTACCACGAGTAGGCGCCATCACGACTCTGATGGTGGGAAATCCGGGTCGTGACAACTATATGCTAGACCAAACTCAACTTGTCCAGTATAATATACTGGAGAAAAAAATTACACACAGGTGTTGTCCTGTATATTATACTGGATTGAAACAAAACTCAACTATATGCTAGCCCAAACTCAACTCCTCCAGTATAATATAATGGAAAAAAAGATTACACACAGGTGATGTCCTGTATATTATACTGGATTGAAACAACTCAACTATATGCTATCCCAAACTCAACTCCTCCAGTATAATATAATGGAAAAAAAGATTACACACAGGTGATGTCCTGTATATTAAAACTCAATTATATGCTAGACCAAACTCAACTCCTCCAGTATAATATAATGGAAAAAAAAGATTACAAACAGGTGATATCCTGTATATTATACTGGATTGAAACAAAACTCAACTATATGCTAGACCAAACTCAACTCGTCCAGTATAATATACTGGAGAAAAAAATTACACACAGGTGATGTCCTGTATATTATACTGGATTGAAACAAAACTCAACTATATGCTAGACCAAACTCAACTCGTCCAGTATAATATACTGGAGAAAAAGATTACACACATGTGATGTCCCGTATATTATACTGGATTGAAACAAAACTCAACTATATGCTAGACCAAACTCAACTTGTCCAGTATAATATACTGGAGAAAAAAATTACACACAGGTGGTGTCCTGTATATTATACTGGATTGAAACAAAACTCAACTATATGCTATCCCAAACTCAACACCTCCAGTATAATATAATGGAAAAAAAGATTACAAACAGGTGATATCCTGTATATTATACTGGATTGAAACAAAACTCAACTATATGCTATCCCAAACTCAACTCCTCCAGTATAATATACTGGAGAAAAAGATTACACACATGTGATGTCCCGTATATTATACTGGATTGAAACAAAACTCAACTATATGCTAGACCAAACTCAACTCCTCCAGTATAATATAATGGAAAAAAAATTACACACAGGTGATATCCTATATATTATACTGGATTGAAACAAAACAAAATAATATATGCTAGAACAAAGTGATAAAATTATCACAAACAAAACAAAATAATGAACACAAAAAATAATTATTTAAACCCTAACGGTATGGTAAATCAAACTTAAACATAACGAAACAACAATAAGAACGTGAATCAAGCACATTATTGTAAAAACAAAACTCACCCAGAGAATTTTGAAGAAAATTAGAGCTAAAACGATCAAGGATTTGAAAAAAAGTGCTCTGACGAAAGCCGCACGCGCTGCTGTGCAAACAAAGAGTAAAAAGTTACTAAAGAGTATGTTAAAGCGTGCAAGGGCAATAATGTCATTTTACATTCTATTTTAAGTTACAATGGCTAGAAATCAATGACATCACGGACGGTGGCTATTTTCCGATAGCCACCCGTAAAAGTGGCTATGCCACGCTATTTTGACGAAATTTTACCATGTGAAAATGACCCGAGTTTTCTTTTGTGTTAAAATGGGTATATATGTGAAAATGACCCGACTTTTCTTTTGTGTTTCCTGGCCTAAGGCCCTTCAAAAACTTTGGGATATTGAAATTATTCTCAAATTGGTGCAAAAGAATATTCTATGATGATCTAAACTCAATTTCCGCAACCCCGAAACAGCCTTGTTTTATACAATTCTTAAGCACCGCACCCACTTCTCAAAGAAGGAAGGAGCAGAAGAATCCCAGGACTCGACTTGAGAGGATCCTTCGTCGTTGCTTCCACTTTCTCTCTATACCCAAATCCATAATAAAGCTACAAATCTTAAATCAATTTAGATAGAGGGAAAATGGATAAGGTGACGGGTACAACAGTAGGTACGTCTGCAACAACGACAACGGGGTCTTCTGGGTCATCTTCAATTTTCACTAACTATCCCCTTATGTCTGCTCTCATTGCTTTCGCTCTCGCCCAATCCATTAAGCTCTTCACTTCATGGTACCCCGCCCCTTTCTTATTATTGATTGATCCCTAATGTCTGTTTTATTGTATTCAAGATATCTTGTGGATTTAAATTCAACAACGATGTTGGTTTGGCAAGATGTTTGATACCATTTGGTCTCTAAACTTGGGCATTGTTAACTCTGATTCAGATCGTTAGTTTAGTAGTATATTAAATGCTTTAGGACCTTATCCTGCATCCTGATGCGGATCTTGCCATGCACACATGGTTCAATCCAACCTGCTTTCGGGTTGGATCATATATATAGATGTGAAAAAAATATTAAGAATGTTTATAAATAATAGATCACACCTGCTTCAGGAAAATTGTCTCTAAAATAGATATCTCTGTGGTAGTAATGGGGCAGTTGCTGTAAGGAAGAGTGTTAGGGACGTGACAAAGTTGATCGGTACAAAGCGCCCAAGCCGGAGAGTAGAATCTATGTCTGGTTTCACCTCTGCCACATTTCTTCTTAACTGTGACATGTGTCCTTTTAATTTTCATTGGCATTTCAAAGGTATATCAACATTTATGCTTTACTATTCTCTGCTTATATTACAAGTGGATTACATGATTTAGACAGGCATTTTGAATGTGGTAATGAAAAAGGATTACTTACAGGTACAAGGAAAGACGATGGGATCTTAAGCAACTCGTTGGATCTGGTGGAATGCCATCATCCCATTCAGCAACTGTAACTGCTCTAGCTGTGGCTATTGGTTTGCAGGAGGGCTTCGGGGAAGCGCTCTTTGCTTGTGCATTGGTTTTAGCGTGTGTGGTATAATCTCTCTGTCTCTCTCATTATTAGACTTCCACCACTTCTACATATAACATTTGCTGCATTCTGGAAAGAAACAGTTCTCAGCTTGTACATGCCCCATCACTGGAACTCAAATGTAAATATTTGGTGCCTCTAAGATTTTGTACATGCCTCATGACAGAAAACTCATAATATCATCTCAGGTTGCTAGTGATATTGCACCAGTGTATACAATAGAGGGATCTTTCATGGAATTAGTTATATAGGATTATGGTGTGCAGTCTGTTTAAACATTCTTCCTGAATAAGGGATTTTTACCTGTGCTAGTCATACTAATTGTATCTAACCTTATAACTAGCAAACACTTTTTAAGATTAACGATGTAATCCTACTCTTCGTTATGCAATAAAGCAAGGTTGAAATGTTGTAAATCTCTGACTTTGTAGCACTAAAATACCTAGGTTATGAATAAATCTGAATCTCTCATGTTATTTATACAAGGAAACAAAGGCAGAAAGGGGAACACCATGCAATTGTCTCAAGCTGCAAGAAGTTTATCTAATCTCACTAGTAGTACCTAGAACAAAGCCTGAGCCCTGAAGCAAGGTGTGAAGAACAAAGGCATGCATCATAGCTAAAGTTTGGCACCCAAATATTTAAAAAAATGATTAATTTTTGAGGACCATGAGCTATATTATGAAAAGGTGGGCATAAAAAATAATCTAATGGTCAAACCAATAGATTAATTGTTAGGCAAATGTTTATTGATAAAAATATTGATTATAAGGAGTAGGAAATTAGAAATTAGTGTAAGACACCTAGTATCTAAATCAAATTTAAAAACTTAATTGCATCTTTGGATCTGAAACTCAAACACAGAGATGACTTTTTGACACGATTGATGTGGTTTTTACTTCATATAACTCCCTTAATTGCAATTGCTTCAATTCCTATTCCGATATATTCATAGATTTTTAAATATCGTTTTCTCTCTTATTAAACAAGTAAATAATATATATACATACTTTACTAGTTTGGGACTGAGGCATAGTAGTTGTTGTTGTATACATACTTCACTAGAGCACATATTTCAATTGCGCTTTGTGCTTAAAGTTCTGAAAGTTGTTGGCAGTTTTCTACACTTGTCGCTTTTAAAAAAACTACTTTTCTGTCAAAATCAACTTCTTTTGATAAGTGCACATAAAAAAGATAAAAAGGTAAGCATAAACATTATCAAATACAAGATTGCAGAATCTTTGATATTACGACATTGCATATTAATATGCGTGGTAACACGTTAACCATTTAGCATAAAATAAATTTCAATGAAGAACAGAGTTATTCTCATGTTTTCAAGAGAAAGAATAAAGCTCCATGAAAAGTAAAAGTAAAAACATCAACAATAAATTTCCTCTATCCTAGATCTAAAACCTTGTTAAGCTTCTGGTATCATTGTTGAATTATTGAATAGGAGGTGAAATGTTCAAAAAAATTGAAGCATTTAATTTTGGTGAAAAGAGAACAAAAACTCCTTCGATTGGAGTAGGGGTTGTGCTAGACTTGTACACTGGTGACAGGTACACTGGGAAATGTGTAGTATAAAAGATCTAAAATACCACCTTTCAGATTGATCATTGGGGATGTCTACTCTGGAATTAAGAGATAGAGAAAGGGAGAGAGTGACTCAAGTTCAATATGTACTCAACAAGATCCCATCAAAGTTGACTTAAGACCATAAGTCTTGAAGTTACTTTTTGCATGTTGACTAACTAGGATGTGGATCATGGCTTAAAATTGGGCTAAGTCTTGCTAGCTATCTATGAAGGATATAGCAATGGTCCTCGTTGTTGATGTCACTGCTTGCCATCAGATTTACCTTCTCTGTTAAAATGATCCTAAAATAAAATTGAATGCAGGCCTGACTACTGGTAAATGGAAGGGTCCTATTGTTCCCATGTGCTCTTTTGGTTTGGGCGGCATGTGACACTTAGAGTTGGTCAAGATGTCTATGAAATTCACCGGTCTATATTTTTTCCAAAGTAGAGTTAGCTTACTTTCTTGCTCAGCTTTATTTGTTGGGAAGGTGGGATAGATATAATACTTATCTTTGGTTGTTTGATGCAAGAATAACCACTAGAAGGTTTATTAACATTAGATCAAATTGGTTCCTCATAGTAAGTCAAGATTCTTCTTATGTATTTTCCAAGTTTAGAGGCTGGTATTTCCGTCCTGTCTTCTGGCCAAAGATGTCCTTTTTCATGATGATCTAATACTATAGCCTAATGAGGAAATTGAGCATTTGGTCTTCTGTTGTATTTCTGGTAACCAAGAGATCTCTAATTTGGTAAATCTTGTGGCAGGTCATGTATGACGCCACGGGTGTAAGATTACATGCTGGACGTCAAGCAGAGGTGTGATTCTCCTGTTGATTTTGCTATGTGGATATCTGCTTTTGACATACAAGCATGCAGTCATGTTTATCAACTTACATGCATGCTGCATTGCTTACATTTTGTCTACAGGAATTCTCAAGCAGAGACTTACAATCCTTTCAGTTCTTTTGGAATAGCACTTTACTCAATTGCTCAGATTTCTGTAAACATTACCAAAATTCAGCTGAAACTGTCTGTTCCTTTTCTTTTCAGGTTCTGAATCAAATTTTATATGAACTTCCTTCTGAACATCCTCTTGCAGATAGCAGACCATTACGAGAACTCCTTGGTCACACTCCTCCTCAGGTTTCCTTATTTAACTTGAAAAAATTCTTGCAATTTGGCTTTAATGCTTATCCAATAAAAGCTATCTGAAATTTAACTCCCTACCCCACCCCATTTTGTCATGTTCACAAATTTCCTTTTAGTCTTGTGTCATTGTTTTCTATCCCTTGTGTCTTTCTGTCTTCTCTTCATTTTCATTATGTCTGGGAATATCAGTTTCACCTTAAAAATATAATGAATTTAATTACTGGTGAATACTTGATAATGCCATCTTGTGCTAGCTTCCGAATTGTATTTGATCGTTTTCTTTTCTGAGGGCTGGAGGAGTAGGGTGCACATGAATGATAATGATGTACATGTGTGTGTGTATGCACTCTGTCCTTGTGAAAAATCTTCTCAGCTCGGAATCCTTCATGGTAAATTGACTACAGATAGCACCTCTTTTCAGTCGTCTTTCCAACAGTAGATCAAGTTTTACTATGACCTTTCTCTTCTTACACGATATCATAAAGAAAAAGTTATCTATATCTATACTATATTAAAAGCACGAAGCCCCTTAGGGGAATGTCGTCTGCCTTTTTTACCCGTTAAAAATTAATTTCACACTAGATAAAATAGTCATTTTATTATATATCCTAATATTTAGGGGTTTGAAATCAATTAAAAAATTTCTTAATAAAATCTTTTCATATTTCAACTATATAGAAACCCTAATATTTAGAAATTTAATTCAACTAGAAATCTTGTATCATTAAAATTTCTGGTCCTAAATAATGGGCTATGCACATTAGTCTAGAACTCTTTACCAACACGTAAAATGTACCATATTTGAGTACTCTTATTATTCATTGGGAAATAATAGGATTTATATTGCAAGATGCAAAACTTCGACAAAATAAAGGACTTGCTAGATAGAAATTTGGTGTAGCAACTATTATAAGACACAAAGAAACCAAAGAATTGTACTCATGAAATACCTTCAGCGTGCAGATATAAAGTTTGTGTATGTATTTTTATCTTTTCTTCCTAATTTTTCAGTTCTTTATCTTTTTTGTTACGTCTTCAATTCTTTTTCCGGTAATAGATTACTAAAAATATGGTAAAAAAACTTATGGATCATCAATAACTCTTATGTTACCGAGAATTTATTCTGTGTCAAAGAGTTATATAACATTAACAGCACAAAATCCCTTAACGAAATGTCCTTTACTTTTTTAAACAACAACAACAACAACAACATACCCAGTAAAATCCCACTAGTGGGGTCTGGGGAGAGTAGAGTGTACGCAGACCTTTCCCCTACCCCGAATCCTTTACTTTTTTAAACCTTCAAGAAATAATTATACACTAGATAAAATTATAATTTAATTATTTTTCTAATATTAAAGACCTTAAAATGAAATAAAATTTGAGTTATTATATCTTTTCTTATTTGAATTATGTAAGAAGTCAATAAAAGTCATAATATTTCGGATCGCTAACTCCACCTTGTTGCCACTTCGACATACGACGGTTAAGAATAAGAGATTGAAGATTGGAGGAATATAAACTACAACTAAGATTTCACATGCTCGGGATAAGCATCACACTGGTAATTTTTTTTTAATAAGGTGAAGATTTTATTAAAAACAGTATCAAGCTGATATAAAAATACAAGGATACTGCTGGCTTAAAAACATTAAAATCCTAAGCGGTCTAGCATGTCCAGCATATCATGAAAATTCATAACAACATTTCCATCTTTCCAATAAGCAACACACTGGTAATATGAGCGGACTAACAAGGAGATAGAAACCGGCAACATTGGTTTTCATACTTGGCCTTTATTTGTTTTCCTTTGGAATGAGTTAAAAATTCTTCAAGAACAATTATACGTTGATATTTAATTTTAATATATGCAATTTGTTTATTGTTTTCTATATTAGATATGCAAGTATTCAAATGTTAAACTTATTATACCTATTTTTCGATAATTCAAAATAAATTACTAACAACGATTACTTACACATTCAAACTTCATTCTACACTATGAAGAAGCACGCGAGAATCAAGAAACAAATACTCCCTCTGTTCCAATTTATGTGAACCTATTTCCTTTTTGGTCTGTTCCAAAAAGAATGACTCCTTTTATAAATTTGGTAACAATTTTGCTTAAACTTACAATTCTACCCTTAATGAGAAGCTTTTATAACCACACAAATACTCTGGGCCCCTTTTTGACTTGTTTAGAACCACACATTCCAAAAGTATTCATTTTTTCTTAAACTCCGTGCCCAGTCAAACGGGTTCACATAAATTGGAACGGAGGGAGTACCTAATTTCAGATTTTATGAAAAATTAGAGTTTAATGAGATAGACTTAAAAACCTGATTTGTTTGTTGGAAGGCTTCTTATTAAAATTATAATTTATATCATGAATTGATTATAGACACACAAGAAAACTAAAACACAACATTTGTAAAAATTGCTTGAAAGAATAAGTTCTAAATCTGGTTTTAACATAGGATAATATTAACATATTACTTTCAAAATCCATCAACTGCAAGTAATTCATTATAATCATAGACCCTTGCTTCCATAAAAAGACAACATCCGGATGAATCTCGATATATGTAGAATTCGGAAGCATAGTTATTTTCTTGGACAAAAAAAGAAAGCTCTCTCCAAAATGAAGAAAGAGTAGGAAATAATCAAAGCATAGCAGCTAGATTCTACTTTCATGATAGTGATTATTCTTTTCTAATTTGTTAGAAATAATTCATATAGTATTTCCTATTAGTTAAAGAACTAGAACAAGTTGCATTTACTCGCAAGAAGAAAAAAAGATGTCTTGTCAGTTAACTGGCCTGCTGTGTCTTCTAAAATTAACTTAAGAATGCATATGCATATATAGCTTTTCAAGATTTTTTTTTTTGAAAAAACTCTTAAATCTTCAAACGTTATATGTTCTAGCTAGAACTATAAAGGAAGCATGATGATTTGTAAAGTTTAAGTAATAAAATTATTAAACTGAAATACATCTTAAGTTGAATATATTAACCGAGATAACTGAGGACCTTTTGTGGGGTGAAGTTTCTTTCTTTATTGAGTTAGTTAAATCGGATCAACATCCATCATTTTCAGGAGCTTAAATTTTCTTTTTAAATTTTATTTCTTAGTCAAACACAAATTTTCATATAATATTTATGTAATTTTAAAAAAAAATTGTATTCGTTCAGGAGGGTTTACGCGCAACGCGCGTATCCTTAGACGAGTATATATAAAAGATGTATGAAATAATGCTAATGGAAAATCTCAGAATTCACCAACCTAATGTTTCCTATCCTGCATAGGATGCAACTCCAAGAGTGACCTTCTTCACAATGTTGTATTAGAGTACATCTATGATTTATGTTCCCTACATATCACATTATAGATTCTAACGAGTTCAAAGAGTGAACTCTACACAGCTTTAATCTGGATAGCTTTCCACTGCAGGTTGTTGCGGGTGGATTGTTGGGATTGATGACTGCAACGGCTATTCATTTTATCACTGGCTGGGGATATCGAGCATGACATTAAATTAGCTGTGCTGGTTATAGTTACAGTCCCTGAAATACTTGACAATGTTGATCAGGCCAAAATTGCAGATATGTCATTTCACCTTTGAATTGCCTTGGTTGGTATTACCTGTTTTGCACATTTAAGTATTTCAGATACGTCGTTGTCTCCTAACAGTTTTCAGAAGAACGGCAAACATTCATATAGGAGTTTCACTTTACACGCTGTAAATAAATATTGATAATTGAATTGTAGCTACAAAGAACATTAACCTGTAACTTGCCATTCATTCTTTTCAGGAATTACTTATAGAGTGATTGTCGTATATGCTTGTGCTTTGCTAAAACTGATTAACTAAAGAGTAACACATACCGTAATTATCCAACTTACAGCTTCTTCCATTTGTCCAATTAATTTGGTAAACAACTTTGTTCCAAGTTCCTAAATATGGATAAGCAGCTGTGTGCTATTCATTTTTTCTGATTATAAATGGTGCAGGTGCTATTACAATTTTTTTTAAAGCAGAGCAGTCATAATTCCAAGTAGAATTGAGATCGGAATTTAGAGTCAGTGGGTTCACAATGAGTAATTTTGTTATATATGTGCATTTTAAATCTTTTTGTATAGGTTGGATAAATGTACGACCCCTTAAACTTGCCCGAATTTTTCATTTAAATACTTGAACTAACCCGAACCCAAGCTCAATTGTGCCTGTTAGGCCCTTCACCAACATTTGGTGAAAATAATAAGACCGTACACGCCAAATACATAAAAATAGCACGGTCTAGCTAGTTTTCGGACTGGTCATTCAAAAATAGCCAGCGTTTACCAAGTCAATGAAAAATAGCCACTATTTTGCTGCAACAGAGACCGGTCCAGCATAATATACTGGAGTTCGGTGCACGTGTATATGAACTCCAGCATGTTATGCTGGAACTCCAACACACGGAAAGTTCCAGCATAATATACTGGAGATTCGAGCACTTGTGTATGAACTTCCAGCATATTATACTGGACCGGTATACTTTGCTGGAACTCCAGTATATTATGCTGGAGTTCTAGTGTATTTATGCTGGAACTCCATCATATTATGCTGGAGTTCCAGCATACTTATTCTGGAACTCCAGTATAATATGCTGGAGTTCAAGTATACTTATGCTGGAACTCCAGCATAATATATTGGCGTATTTTCCGGGTTTTGAACAGTGTTTTCGCTCAGATTTATCTTTACATGAAAAGTGACTAAATTTCGATTACTTTTGAAACTGGGCTATTTTTGAACGACCACTTGTAAATCTGGCTATTTTTAAATTTCTCCCGCCAAATACATGTCAAAGAGATGAATAAAGTCACGACACTTGGGCTTTTGACCTTAAAAGTAATAAGTAAAGTTTTTCTTTTTCTTTTTCCTTTGGTCTTCTTCTCGGATTTGCTGACATCAGCTTCACGATCAGAAACTAGATTCAATTCTAATGTTTCACCAAATCTAAGCTCATACCTGTCAGCATGTGAAAAAGATCCAGAAGTTCAATGGTTTGATTCAGCTCTTCAGCCTGAATAACTTCATTAGCTCCCAATTCCATAACTGTTAACATGGACTATAGGTTCCTTTCTTTCTCTTTACATGAGGTTACTTTATGCTTCTTAGATAAATCAGGAAGTTGTCAATTTCATTCTTGAAATTGAAAGCAAAAGACATGGAAAAACCCTGCTATATTTGATCTTGTTAAGGATTATCTTTACAGTAGTAGTCACATTATGAAATGTTTTTCATTTGATGATTGTCTTGAACATACACGTAATAGCCGGTCATTAGCATTGAAAGAGTGTGAGAATGAGAGCAGTGAAAATGAAGGTGATTCAATGCTTCTGTTTTTGAAAGGGGAATGGGCCGGGGTGGTTGATGTCCGTGGATGTGTGTTATGAATTAGAAGGTTTATGTGGATATGGAGTAGGAATGGCAATTGGGCGAGGCGGGTTTTGGGTGTAAGCTGTGCGGTGCGGGGCGGTGCAGGTTGAGATATTTTCTTTTTAAGTTCATGCAGGTGCGGGGCGGTTGTGGGTTGATAACTTGATATCATGAACTGACTGTTGTTGCGTATCATTGCGGACTCGTCCTGATAATACCACACTTTTATTTGCTGTTCTATCTGCATTCCTTTTCTAGTTTATAGATAAAAGAATATCTTTTTTGAGCTTAAAAAAATTTAACTGTAAATGAGGTCTGTGAATACTAGTGCCCGGGCCCAACAACGAACTATCTAATATTGTTATTAATACTATTATTTTTAGATGTCACTCACTCTTGCATTTAAATTCGTCGTGTTAGTTATGTAGGTGTTGATAAATTTACGTCCTCGAAGACTATTTGTTGCAGTTTGGGCATCCTTCTTGGTAAATTAGAGCGTAAATCTCTACAATATTTTTGTATAACACAATTAATATGTATCAGGTTATAAACGAACGATTCGACTATAGTGGGAGAAGTAATTTTTCTACCAAAGTTATCCGGCGAAGAAATTGAGTTGTGGAGTCGTGCAATAGTCTTAGAATACATAATATTTTGCAATTGAGAGGGAGATGATACAAGGCCGATTCAGCTAGCTTGTGTAGATAGATTTAAAAGAAGTTACGTCAAGCTCGAAGAATGAAACTTAGTATACACACTGCAAGTGTAATAAAATTGGGAAAATAAGATATTTCATATTTGTAAATCACAAATACTTTATTTTCTTACCTGGTTTGCTAATGGAAGCACTACTTTAATGCAAGTGATTGCAGAAAACAATGCAAGCACTTAGGTAAATTTGTACTAAAGGTATCAATATTAAATAGAAAAGGGGATGTACTTAGACAAGAGATCCACGAATATTGAATTTTTTTTCTTGTAATTATATGAAACATACTATTTTCACGCTACCAAAGTAAATGCAAATAACCAAACAAAGCATAACCTAATCCTCTTGATAACTAACGCTACAATGAAGATTTTTCCCGACTACGTCACTTTTTGTGTACTTAAAGTGACACTCACGTATTAGCAAATGTAATGGATATTTTTATCTCTATCGAAATTATCAGAATGAGTAGCAGAATTATTAACTAAAAGTCTATATAGAATGAGCACATTTGGGAAAGATTTTATAACGGGATGAGGAACCATAAGTGGCTGTGAGTCAGTTACTTGCTTTACATCAAAGTGTACATTCACCAACAGTACGTAAGCCCATATACTCTAATTGTATAAACCCGTGCTAACACGGATCCAACATTTTCAAGCTCTTTAGTTCAATTCTTTGTTAGCTTTATTTATATCATATTTATTTTAATTATGCCGGAGTTTGTTTTTCCCACATTGACCCCCCCAAAAAAGTATATTTGTTGTGTTATATTTCATATATAATCCTAATTTATCTTTTGAATTCAAGCAATGGCAGGTTCATGTTACAAAAGCTGGGAAAAAACACTATTTACAAAATCATTATGAAAAGCTTCTAAAGCTATCTGAGTAAAATGTGGTTGTTATCTCTTTTAGCAATTGTAAGAGTGAGCATGTATCGCTCTAATATTTGAAATTCTAAAATGTACATTGACATCTAGACAACTCTTCATTTTGACAAATTAGTTTTTATTTTTTAAATTTTTATGCATGATTTATTTTATATTTGGTTAGGAAAAGTATATACTTGATCTCGATATTTTTGAAGTAAGACAATTGCACCTATATATTTTTATCTTATGTCCCTGCAACGTCCAATTAATCTAATAGTAAACTTTTTACCAACCGCATATAATTCTCTTCTTATTCAATCTAAAATTGCAAATGCAATATTTTTTTTTTTCAAGATTGTCATCAGTACACTGGAAATAGTGCCCAAAAAATTAGGTGTCATTAAAATAATAAGTATTATGATAAAAGTTGTAATCAAACTAAGTTTAAAATGAAGGTGCATACTTCTTGAATATGGAAACTCGATCATGCTCATTGTAATTGTGTGATTTTTAATAATTAGTTTTTATCATTTCTTTTTTGTCACCTATACGTCAGTGACATCAATTTTTATTTGTAAGAATTGTAACGGATGTAAGTTTCTGAAATACATCTTAACATCTAGAATAATCTTAGTAAGTGTTTGGCTTTTCTTATTATGTTTATCATAAGGATAAGCTAATATCTTGTCGTGCTTTAACATAATTTTAGATAATTTCAAATAAAATTTAAATCCTATATACTTGAACTTATACCAAATAGTCATAAGAGTTTTAGTGGTACGTCTTCTTTTATGTTGTTGCTTTGTTATTTTAACAACTGATTCGATTATTTATAATGTTGTATACTTCAGTATTTGACGTACAAAACTATTTTATGTAATATTTTAAGGGATGAGTTTTATAAATATAGACGGGTACTCTGCCTAAATAACCACGTAAACTTCACTATTGTTTTGATAATATCTTTGTGTTCTTGCTCTTTTGCTTTGAATTTATGTTAATTATTATTAATCGGTTTAACATTAAAGCCTAAAAAATCAAATTATACAACTTGTTCTTCAAATTGTATTTTACAAATACAAACGGTAGTTTTAGAATATTTTAAAAATGGAGTAGACTCCAAAGGTCTCAACTGAGTTTTAAACTCTCTTAGATTACCTTTCAAGCATAGTATAAGAATTAGTTTTTTTTCACAAGTTTAAAATTATTTAGCACATATTAGATAGTATATACAATGGAAAATGGGCTATAATTTAGCTTGCTCACGGTATATGATGGGACCTAATAGAAAACCATAGAAATTTTATCCTCATCCCTTTATACAAAAAGATGAAAATCCTCATAACTTGTATCGTCTTACGTGGCTTAGTGGAGAATAAATGACTAAGCAGCTGTACATGCAGTCAAAGTAGAGTGATTATGTAGCCTTTGCAAAATAGCTCAATCGTACCCTTTATTCACTTATCCTGTATGATGGCAATTGTAGTAATAATGAGCTAATCCATGGGCAAACAATATTTCTTCAAGCTGACAGGACGACCCCAAGCTCCTCAACTGCCTCTTATTAATAGCACGAATATACTAACAGAAGTAGTGAAATCAAAACTTGTGAAGGCTATCGTACGATCAAGTTAGTTTTCTAAAAAAGATGGATAGAGCCGAAGAATATGCCTAGTGGTAATGACTCAAGAGACACTATTAACCATCTAGAAATAAAAAGAAAATAATTGAAATAGTGTACTATCAAAAGAATTTGAAAAGGTGACAAGAAGAACTGATTTGTAAATACAACCTAAGGCCAATAAAAACGACAAGAAGGGATTAAGTATATCTGG